CGATTGATCCGGTGGCATTCAGTAAAACTAGCACTATTATATTCATGGTGACATGACGACAGAGCTCTGTGTGTATACGATAAATGAATTATTTATCTATTGATGTCAGCCGATGGTCGCGGGCCGAAATCAATAAACACCAGCCTAGTTTAAATACAAATTGTCTCCGGACTTCAGGATTGGTCTGTTACGTTCAGCTGTTTGTTCTCATATCGGTTTTCCTTTACCTTGTGTATAACATAATTGGTTTTAGAGGTCATTTATGTTGGTCAATGTATGAAAAGGAAGAGAAATTTAATCTTGTCTGTCTGTAGCTATAGATGAGTTATTGGCCGACGCCTTCAGATCTAACAGTAGGAGCAGGCTTAAGGCCACAGGTAGCCATATTCGTCGAACTCGCCAAAGAGTTCGACGTGCAACTTACCCCATGTATCAGCCCGCTGAGTTCTACGCCAGATCTTCTCAGCGGGTCGCGATTCTAATCCGGTAGTAGATTCATTCGCGAAGCAGCGGCACTTGAGTTGTTAAGTCTCCTTTGGAGGTGCTTCGAAAGCTGTTACCAAATCCCACCGCTCCTGACTGAGCCTATGCTCGCCCACCTGTCCTGGTGAATTTATAGAGGCTTCCGGACCACCACTAATTCCTCATTAATAAAATAATGATGAGTAGATGGGCGCACTACACATTTATTATGAACTAGTTAAAACAACCCATAAATGTCATAGTCCATATCCACATTTAAACCATAGATCAATCAAACAATAGATCTTTATTGTTTTACAATATTTACAAACTCTATTCTGTAATTCTTTTACAATTAGGCATAATCAAAACTAACTTTACGGCTTAATGTCGAGTATTGTCACATTATATTCAAAGAAGATTCAAATACAGTTTTCGTGGTCACGGTAGACTAAGGTAGGTATGGCAGTAGTAATAAGTCAAGATAATATTAGCTTTCGACGATCTGACTGTACAGGACAATGTAAATAGTAAACGCCAGATTTAACTACAAAATTAATTTTAATTAAGTATACGACTCGAGAACATAGAAAATAATAATATTACTACTATCAAGCATTCAACTACCATCATGTGCCTTAACTTTGAATTCTAAATGAAGCTGTAAAGGTATTCAGAAACGCGATTCCAGAAATTTCCAATAAAAATGACCGATTAAGGGTTCAAAGTCGCCGAAGCGAATCTCGGTCGGGTAGAAAATGTTTAAATTACGTATTTGTGGGGCAGGCGACATTAGATTCAAGTCCTCCTAGGTTTAAATGTAGATATTGGGTTGCGATCCTTATTACCTTCCACCGTATGGAGGCCGCAGGGCGGACCTTAAGAAGAACACGAGAAGCTATGTCCGGCTATTTAGTTCCGTTGCCCGCATAATACTGCGCTTCCATAATTACTAACGATTTAATAAGCCTCCATTATTACACGTTTACATCTTAAACAACTCTAAGTAAGTATCTAATTATAAAATCTGAACTGGAAAATTTCCTCACTGACACAGCCCACTGAGTTTCTCGCCGGATCTTCCAATGGGTTACCTTTCTAATCCGATGGTAGATTCTGCGAAGCACTGCTCTTGCTAGGGCTAGTTAGCAACGTCCTCAGGTTAGATCCCCGTGAGCTCAAATACTCGCCCGGTTGCGCTGGAATAACCCCCTAGGTTAGAGGACTAAGGAAAAAAATTTAGGACCTTTGGACCTTCGATTTCCCAAACAAACCCAAACTAAACACACGTTCGGTAGAAGATCTTCCCTTTGTCGCGACTCTTCAAGTTTCCGCCAAAAGGTCCTAAATCTATTTCAGCGGTGTTGTTTCTTTTATTGCCTTTGCGAGCAATCTAGTATATGGTCCTTACCCGGTATTATGTAATTGACTTCCACGGTGAAGGAATAACATCATGTAATAAAAATCAAACCCGCAAAATTATAATTTGCATAATTACTGGTGGTAGGTCCTCTTGTGAGTCCGCACGGGTAGTTACCACCACCCTGCCTATTTCTGCCGTCAAGCAGTAATGTGTTTCAGTTTTAAAGGTGGGGCAGCCGTAGTAACTAAACTTAAACTAGAACTCATATCTCAAGGTGGGTGGCGGCATTTACGTTGTAGATGTCTATGTGCTCCGGTAACCACTTAACACCAGATGGGCTGTGAGTTCGTCACCCATCTGTGCAATAAATAAATAAATAAATAAAGTAGTCAACCCCGCCCATGGACATCAATAATACCAGGGACGCGGCCTTTTACTACTATGTATTGACACAATATAATTTTGCTAAATAAGGATTTCATATTGTTGTGTTTAATTTAGACTTTAGCGCAACTTTTGTACTGATGATAATAGAAATATGTTTCTGTTTTTTATCTATTTTTGTACACTACTGATAACGTTACTTGTAATAATCTCGTTACAGAGTGTAAGTTAAAGTGGAGTTTAGATGGTTTTAGCTAAATGCTCTGAATGCTAATGTCGCATTAAATAAAAAAGAAAATTGATTAAAAACAAAAATTCGGTTTTAAAATACATAAGTTAATTACAGTACAACTGTATTGTTTATAAATAAGTATCAGTTTCGCTTGCGACAGGAGCTCTGTTTAAATTGGCCCCATCTGAATGACATAAAATAAATAATTTTCAATGGAAAAACGTTGAAATCGGTCTAGTGCTATATATATTGTGTGTTTCTCGAATGATCTAATATTAAAAAATAAATCACAATTAATATATGTTTAATATTAAGTAAAAATAAAAAATGAGAATTTTGGTGCTTTGGTTTCGATGGCTGAAGGGCATAGATTATAAAAGTGTGTCTGACGCCATTAATCAAAAGATACGAGTTCGCTTCGGACTTTTTGGCGGGAATGCGAGGGGTGAAGTTGTGTGAATTTTTTATTTTGTTAATTTAGTTTCTGCAGGCTTAAACGTGTTATATTGACGGCTTATTTACAGTTTAGCATACAGCTTTCACAGGACAGTGTAGAAAGAAAATGAAACAAATTCGCTGGACGTGGCCTCTAGGGTTCCTCCAAAAATTCCACTGAAGTCTCAGGGCATATGTTTTCATCTCATCTCAATTTATTTAATTTTATTTCATAGAAATTATCAAATATTTTATAATTGATTTATAAACTCCAAACTAGCTTAAAAAAGTAGGAAGTTGAGTGTCGTCTAGCAACTATGAATAATACTACTACTGTACGATCTGTGGCTGTAATAACTTGGTTAGTCTATTTGCCTAAACATGTCACTAACTCCTATTCTAATTTGCGTTAGGGAACATTATAGAGATTGCACGAATGGATACTATTCTCCACATTTCCCCTGTTTGAGAGTTAAGAAGGCCATTATAGTAATTTATTCGAGGCTTGATACAGATCTACGCTAACAGAATTAATTTGTAAATTTCACGTAGGTACATATATTGTGATACTCACCACATGAGCTCATGTTCCAATAAGTTTATGTAGAATTTAAACACATTTGGAGTTGACTGGAAAAATAAAACAAATTATACGTCATTATCATTATTATTGAATAATTTAAAATGCATCGTACGGCACTTTGAGGTACCATTAATAGCTATGTCTTTATCTAAATCATACATTTAGACGTTTATTAGATTTTAAGCTTAAATAGTAATTGAAAACAAAATAATACCCGTTTGTACTTACAACTAAACAGGTCGAGAACAACTTAAGTTTTATTAGAAATAACATTCGCTAAGTTTTCATAAGAATTTTCGCAGGATTCAATTAAATTTTACGGTCACAGCGTATCTCGTTGGAAGTAGATAGATTACGGAACTACACTGAAGACAGCCAATCAACATCGATCACAAATGAAAAAGTTATTCCGATAATTCACATTTATTATAATACAATATTATAAGCACTTTGGAATCTAAGTTTTTCACTAAACCATAGTCACCATTCTGACGCTACGTACATTTAGAAAATCTACATTTTTTTTTTTTTTTTTTTTTTTTTGGTCAGGAGGAAATCGCCGGACTTCCGCCCTCCCCTGGGGATGGAAGGCGGGGCATGTCGGAGTCGAACTGACTAAAACCTCCTGTCGCTCAACAACCCGCGTCCGAACCTCGCATGGGACAGAACCCATGCAAAGGCAAAGGGGGGAAAGTGAAGCGTTTAGTGCGGAGCACATCTCTCCCATCACCCTCCCCCTCGGGACGCCGGACTGGCGGTCGTCGGCGCCACGACCACCAGCCCTCTCGGTCGGCAGGCTATCCGAAGCCCGCCTAGATGGCGCCGGTTAGAATGGTCTATCCTACGGAATACCCCGCTGGGTCAGAACCAGCGTGGGTTGAGGATAGCCGGCCTTCCATCACCCGGATGCTCATGCATAAAACGCGTGCAGAGCAGCTTGCACGTCGTCTTCTTAGGCCCCCTTCGTCGGTCCCCAGGCCGACATGTGAGGGAGACCCGAAACACTTAGAGGGCCAGGGCTTGGGCGATATCCGCCTCCCTGGCCCCCGCTCGACGGCGGCGGGCCTGTGCGTCTCTCACGCGCCCCGCCGCCTCCTTCTGCGAGATGGTGCACTCGCAGAAGTCGAGCATCGCCTTCCACGACTCGTCGTCACCGAGCATCGATGCCACAACACTCGGCAACGACAAGTCGTTTCCTATTTTTGCGACGAGGACACGGCGCCACCCCTCCCATGCGGGGCAGGCGACGAGCGTGTGCTCCGCCGTGTCCAAGTCGCAACCACAATGGTGGCACTCTGCCGTCGGCTCGGCTCCGATCCGGTGCAGGAACTCACCGAAGCAACCATGCCCAGTGAGCACCTGCGTGAGCCGGAAAGTGAGGCGTCCTCTGTCACGATTCACCCAATTCACAAGAACCGGGCGAATCGCCTCGACGGTCCTACGACCAGCCGAAGGATCGGCCAGCCGTCTGGACCATGCCTCCAGCACGGACCGCCGAGATTGGGCCCTCCGCGCTCTGACCACACTGGGAGAAAATCTACATAATTACAAACGTTTAACCCCTAAGTATCTAGACTTTTAGAATTCTTGAGAGATCTTTGTTGTACAGTTTTGTTTTTCGCGTTTTTATTATCTGGCACACTGAATGTATCACTGGTGCCACTAGACGGTGTGCTGAAGGCGGAGTTCTTGGAGCTGGGCACGCTGTTGCCGGGCGAGACCCCGCTGTCCGTACTGACCGAAGCAGGACTCAGATTATCACTAACGTTATTGCACACTGTCAGCTCCTGTCCGGGCAACGAAACTATTTGCCCGATAGGCTTCTGTCTGACTAGATTTATACTTTGGCACACGCTTTTAACGTCACTATCGCTTGATTCTTTTTTCTGGTATCTTGTCAATGTCCCAGCGGAACCGGCGGAGTTCGGTCGGTACATCGGCATGAACTGCGATTGGGGGTAGTACTGCATTTCGGGCGGCACCTGACCTTGGATCCAGGGGCCCATAGTGGATACGACCGGTGGCATTTGCGACCAAATAGGCATCTGAACCATGTGAGGTCCTTCGGGCGCTCCAAAACCGGGCGGCACTGGTATCGGCCTCACAATTCCTGGAGCGTTTGGTGCGCTTTGTGGCCTGATACCTGGATGAGCGTAGTGGGCGTAATTTTCGGCATCATACATTCGATTAGTATTTCCCGTCTGTGTGTAATCAACGTTGGGGAATACAGTATGAGGACTTCTTTGGATGTACGAAAACATTTGTTGTTGTGCTTGCTTCATGGCCACGTATTGTTGCAGATGTATCGCGGTTTGCTGTCTCTGTTGCGCCAAGTCTTGAGCTAGGGTCGTACTACTGTTGCCGTGGATGTAATATATGTGAGACTGGGTTGTAGGTTGCGCCGTTTGGGTCTTTTGGGATTGTTTTTGGTTAAGCTTGTTGTCGACGACATCGTTCTGTGGGTCCTGATACTCCTCAGGCGGAGCTATAAATTTGGGAGACGATGGAGGTGTGACCTGTTGCGACATCGGGTAGCTTATAATTTGAGCTATGTACGGTTGTTTAGCGGAATGAGCTGGACTGTGCGTTTGGAATGTAGGGTTGAACGTTATCTGCGATGAGTCTTGTACACCGCATGGAATCTCATCTTTGCGGTTATCATCATTCTTTTTCGGCTTCTGACTGTACGGCGCTACTTTAGTGTTGTTCTTCCAGTTCGCGCCGGCACTCTGGGGCCTTCTCACTGGAGATTTTGTCGGTTCCTGCCAGCTATCACCGTTGACGTGCCGCGTGTCTGGATGATGGGATTGAGCACTGTGTGCTCTCCTGGGGGGCGGAGACATGCCTTCTGGAACGTGTTGTCTGTAACACTTTCTGTTGGATCCCGGGCTGTTTTGCCGTTCCGGAGGCTGCGGCACGGGTCGATGCATGCGTCTTCTTGCCGGTGTCGGAGGGCTGGGGTGGGATTGCGTTGATTGCGTAGACAGCGATGCTGAGCGCCATTGTTCTATCAGTACCCTTCTTCTTTCTTGTTCTAATCTTAATTCAGTTTCACTCGACGAGTCATAGTCTTTTCCCTGTACCGAAAACATCAGTTGATGTGATTTTTAAACATAATGAACATACATGTATACAAGTGAATTGTTTTGTCACATACCTTTTCGATTTTCTCGTCAAGCATTTTGAAGAAGTTCTGCTGGCTTGCAGATACTTCACTGTAATAGCAGAATATAATAAATAGAGTGCAAGTGATTTTAATAAATACAAAATTTTACTTTTAATGAAAGAAAAAAAATGCTGCGGTAAAATTAAATCAGCAAAACGTCTGATTTTTCCTATTTATTATACAATTTATATATAGACCTGCGGACCTTAGACTGCGGGTGGCAGCATTTACGTTGCGATGTCTACGATTTCCGGTAACCACTCAGCATCAGCTGTACCGAGAATTCAATCATGCGTCCAAGCAATAAAAAGTATATCCATTGACTCAAAAATATTGCGGATAAACAGCCCAATACCATATATTTTAAAATTTACAATTTGGACAATAAAACAATTTGAAAACATGACTCTTTCAAGCTAATGCGTTGAATGTTTTGATGTTGGTAACCATTTAACACAATACATGTGGGTATTGAACGACATTCTTTTTAGTTAAATTTTGTTTGTAACTCACATGACGGGTTGGTGTGAAGTGAGTGGCAGTATATTGTTCTTTCTCTTGTCTTCATCCTCGTTATCTTCTGTGGGCGCTGCTGATCCTGTTGTGCCTTCTTCCTCATCAGCTTCTTTGTCCGCTGCCCCTATGGACAAATATTTTTGATCTACAACTTTATACTTATTTAATTGTCTTAACATATCATGTACCGGCTTGTAAGCAATTAGGTAATCTTATACGTTCAAATTTATTGGGTACAGGTAAAGAAAGGTACGATCTTTCCTACCTACTTACAATTACAACTACCTTCTTTCGTCTGTAATAGTAGTGTTCTCCGATTATTTCCTATTTCAGCATCTAGATACCTTCTCATATCTTCCTAGATACAGCATTAGGATGTACTATAGTCTACACTCCAGCCGTATGTTCTAATATGGTGAATCCCTGTATGTTTCAAGGTTAACGGACACGTCTATTAACTTTGTTAGTCAATACAATACCAGACAGAAGTTGTCAATTCATCAATAATACATATTTAAGATGCCTAAATATTACTCCAAGATGAAGAAGAGACATCGTGTTTGGGAGCAACTGGCGAAATAAGCTCGCAAATAGTTGCGAATAAAAAATGTTTATTGGTAAAATGTGTTTTCTAAGTTAAAGTTTACATTAAACTCGATTATATTTAGAATTATGATGAACTAGCTTTTGCCCGCGACTTCGTCCGCGTGGAATAGTTACTCTGGCATAACGCTAAATTTTACCCGCGACTTCATTTACAGTACTCAGGATTGGAACTTCATTACTGAACCGGTAGATGGCGTTGAAGAAGCTAGAATTTGAGATTTTTTGACAAACAATTTTGTTAATTTTTCGTAAAAAAAAAATTTTTTTCTTAATAAAAAGTATCCTATGTTACTTCTAATACCTCCAAGAATATGTGTACAAAGTTTCATGATGATCGGTTGAGTAGTTTTCGCGTGAAAGCGTAACAAACAAACTTACATTCACATTTATATATTAGTAGGGATTACTAATAAGAATTTGGAATCATGCATTAGAATCTAGAATTATGGCGAATGATAATTGAATTGAATTTATGTTTCGATCTCTAAGGTAAAAGAGCAATTACGAGTTTAGTTCATCAGTCTCTTCCAGATTAAATTCAAAATGAAATTTCATTGCTCAAACGGAATAAGCATTTTCGGAAGAAGTCAAATCTAAGATTAACGATGACAGCGCCGGATTAGACGGGGATTTTGGGTATGTAATTGGGTATTTGATTATTTGGTTTTATTAATTTTAGGCAATTGATTGGATTTTCAATTATTTATTTCAAATAATAGTAGATTAATATCCATTTACTATATGGAATATTTCGTGAAATAGATTCCACTAAAAGTATTCATTGCTTAGCACTTTGTGGTGGTAGATATCATACGGCACCGTCCTCAGCCTCAAAGGGTATAAAACGAAGCACATATTTCAAACTTTTCAAGGTGTAACAGCCAAACAAATAATGTTGAGTATTGGTTTTCCATTTGTATGAATATGCGGAAATATGGTGGGATGAAATGCCTTTAGCGACATTTATGCAACTTTACAGGAGAGCCAAATAAAGTTAAAAAATTTGGAAAAAATATCATAACAAAAATACTTCTTCAAAGAAGTTCAATTAAAAACATCAAATTGTTGATACTAATACCAAATAAAACTGGTATTAGTAAAACTAAAATTACAAAGAGACATATCGTGTATTAAGTGAAATGTCGCTTATATCTAATAGCCTTTCAGCCCTCGATATATATACTGGTTAGGTTAGGTTAGTAATTATTAGGTTAGGTTAGTAATCAATTGAAGAAAACTGCCGATCATGACGAAAGAGAACTGGTTCTCGCGAATAGCTTATCCGCTTGGTATAATCACTACATAGTAGAAAACAAAGTCGCTTTCTCTGTCCCTATATCCATATGTATGCTCCAAATCTTTAAAACTACGCAACGGATTTTGATGCGGTTTTTTTTAATAGATAGAGTGATTGAAGAGGAAGGTTTATGTGTATAATAACATCCATTAAATAGGGGAGAAATCAATAATAAATTACAGTTTCCGAAGCGAAGCCAGAGCGGGTCGCTAGTGCATCATAAAACACGAGTTTCATAAATGCCAATGTGCGCTCTTTAAGCGAAACTACAAGAAGAAAAAGTTTGTAGTAACTAGGGAATATTCACGAAGCTAAGAAGATAAAAGTTCGAAAAATATCATAAAAGGTATCGTAAAGATCAAAAATTATATTTTCTCTAGTCCGTCGTTTCCGTGTTGAAGTTTACACGGGGGAGGGGGAGGGGACGGGAGTCATTCAAAATATTTCCTGAATACATTCCGTTCCGTCATCTGTATAATTTCGTAGGAATTAATCTCCGTGTAATTTTATAAAGACGATGTGGTCTCTGCCGGGAATTTCAATGAACGGTTGATTTAAACGATTCAAAATATGAAATATATTTTGATATCACTACCTACGATTTGTTTTATTCAATTTTCCCTACGACAGATGAAGTTGATCGAAGTGTACATGATGAAATTGATATTGTTACGCGCTGGGGTTCGAGATGAATAAAAAAATCTACCGAAGTACAAGTTAACACTGTATCTTAACTTATACTACGATTTATTTTCAGAAAATATTGTTTTATTCGTGTTTTCAATAATCAACTTTATGACTCTTCTCGACATCTATTGGCAAATAATAATACTATTTTTCATAATTGAGAGCAACTCACTGCTTTAAAGACACAATAACACTAAAGCTATTCCAGCAGATGGCGTTGTTTAGCCACCCGAAGTCAATGAGTGTTTGGTTTAAGGTTAGATCAAGAAAATGAATTGTTTATTTATATTATTTGTGTCTTTTTAAATCACGTGTTCACTCAAAAATGCCTAAAGGATCTTGGAATATTTCATCATTTGATCAATATGTAAATCGTATTTAAATATAATTTCGAAAAACACAATTTATCAAAAAAAAAATACCGGTCATCGTCTAGTTAGCACTTATAACACACACAGATCACTTTAAAATTCTCTATTCGCTTCTTCCGCTTCGCTTCAGGTGATCCGTTCGCTGTTTCGTTTCGAGTAGTTCCAATGACTGACTGACTGCGTGCAATCTCTGCAACGCTTTTATAGTCGAGACGAAATCTCTAGAATCGTCGGGAATATTCCACACAAATCGAGTATTGTGTGTTTCCGCTATCTGATAATAGATGGCGTTGTTCTTTTCGAGCGTTCTAGATGCTATTAGATCCTTCGATATTCGTTTGGCTTACCGGCGTAATATATAATATATATAACAATATGTTTGTTTTCTGTGAAGTAGTACACGAAGTTTTAACAGCGTATGTTTTTGTGTCGAGAAATATACGAAGTAGTGTTTGCTTTGAATGTTTAAAATATTTGAATAATACCCACTAAAGACAAAGCTTTGACGTGATTAAATATCGGAAAATATCGCGTATTGTACTCGTGATCACATTTAATGCAAAATAGTGGTTAGCCCGCTTGATAATAGCTAACCACCTTATTCCATTTTCGAATTTTAGATGTCATTTACTAAATATCGACGCTTGAAAGGCAAACCTGACTAAGCGACAATGCGTGAACGTTACAGTAGACGAATTTAAAGTTGAAATACCTGAAAAAAATTTTTTTTAACAAATCTAGCTGTAGTAAAATCTACCTAGTAGTTGTAGGATTGAAATGATTTTAAGACCTAGAAATATATTTTTTTTGCGCAGCGAATATGATTATTGCCTATCATTTATGTACAAAGCAGTAATTGTCGCTTAGTCCCGTTTGCTTTTCAAGCGTCGATATGTACGTACTAGCATTTGTATTAAAGAAAAAATGTTGAAAAAACAAATTGTTTTCTTTTTGCATTTTCACCGTCGACGAAAATAAACCAGTGCAGATTTAATACACTTAACTCACTAACAAGTATAGACCTATTTTTAACTGTTACTACACTTATTATACTTAATAATAGTTATATTAATTCATATACTGATACTTTAACTCTTATATGTATGACAATTGGACTGGACACTGTGAAGCCAAAAAACTTTTTTTTTGTTATTGCCTAGATGGGTGGACGAGCTCACAGCCCACCTGGTGTTAAATGGTTACTGGAGCCAATAGACATCTACAACGTAAATGCGCCACCCACCTTGAGATATAAGTTCTAAGGTCTCAAGTATAGTTACGACGGCTGCCCCACCCTTCGAACCGAAACGCATTACTGTTTCACGGCAGAAATAGGCGGGGTGGTGGTACCTACCCGCGCGGACTCACAAGAGGTCCTACCACCAATACAAATTAATCCAAATACTAATTCTTTAACTCTTCTAGCTATGATGATTGGACTGAACACTACAAAGGCAAACAAACTGAATGGCATTGATTATAATAAGCCGTTTATTGTAAAATAAAGTGGTAGACTTAATTCTCCGACATCTTGTAGTATACATTAAACAGATGGAAATCGATCAATCGGCTCGCGAAGCCGAGAACACACAATTCACGATGCTAACGCATTCAGAAATGGGTTATGCTAGATAGTGAAAAAGGTCGAAAATATTTTTAATGAACAAATCCTGCCTGAATATTTAAAGAGGAAGCATAAAATAAGCATAATATTTTTTTATTGCTTAATTGGGTGGACGAGCTCATAGCCCACCTGGTGTTAAGTGGTTACTGGAGCCCATAGAATATCTCGATGCCTCCAATGAACACTACGCTAATTCCAAAAATTCGTAGGTTTACAGGAGGAGCGTTTAAACGAAAAAACATGATAAAATCATTATTATTGCAGATTTATTGATGTTTTTTTTTGTGTAACTAGCTGATTTACTCTTGCTTTGAACCCCATCAATATAATTTGTAATACTTTTAAAATAGTGAAGCGATTTGCGTGAAAAACGAAAATTTCAGAATTTTGAGTAGTGTTCATTGGAGGCATCGATCTATCGGAGCTCATATAGATAGCTCATATAGAAAATAGCTATCGGAGCTTACAAACATCGTAGTCGCTGTAATATCGATATGGCTGTTGGCGGAAATCCGTTGGACATACCCGTGCAGGCTCAA